CAACATTGATGTGCTGATGCCAAACAAATTAATTTTGTTGTGCCATTGCGGACACGCGCAATCAGCTGTTTTTGTGCCATTGCGAACTCGCAACCACCTATTTTTGTGCCATTGCGAACTTGCAACCACCTATTTTTGTGCTATTGTGAACTCGCAATCGCATGTTTTGTGCCATTTCGAACTTGCAGCGATGCTTGCAATGCCTGTTTTACTGTGCATTGACATACATCGATTTCCACACGAATTTGTCTCCTTCAAAATTTAAGTGGTTTACACTAGTGTGGAGCATTGTGCCTGCTTTGCCATTGCTACTGATTTTTTTTCCCGGAAAACCAAATAAACTTCTCGCCATGCTAGGCAAAATGTTTTTTGTGGATAAATTATTGCTTTCAGATGCATAGATAAAGTAACGCATTACTGTTTGAAAGCCTTAACAGATAGCCAAAATAAAAAAAAAACCTCTGCAGGAGATATGTTAAAATAACTTGGCCAGTCAACTATTCAAATAAACAGCATGAGCTTCATTACTCAGTCCTACATTACCTTATTTGTTACTGACTACAGATTTTGTATTTACAGATGACCCAATCAAACTACACAGAGAGGTGGTGCTCCTGACAGATGATCGCAATCTTAGAGTGAAAGCACATACACGTAATGTACCCACTAAGACAGTCCCTAACTTCCTTCAATGGGCAGACTTAGTGAAGCGCTGAAAGCCGATGCTCACCTGTGTTGCATGGGTATTACACAAAGCTAATAGCGACCAAGATGAGATTCCTGATCTCAAGAGCTATGAGAGGAAAAGAGACACAAGCGAAGCGATGGATTATTTAAGCATGATGTTCCTATCTCTAATAATATTTTCATCAATTTTTTTTCTCATTGTTTGAAATAGCAATATACTTTTCTGCTGCCTAGAAAAATGTAATTTGTTCTAATAAGTGGAGATAGTTTTGAGTAAATCAATTTGTTTTTAAACTTTTCTTGAAGAAGATATGAATTTCCAGTTCACTTTAATGACAGTCATCTAACTAGTCTAGGTTTATGTGCACCCAAGAATTAACATCTGTACAAGTAGGTATCTTTGGTAATTTAGGTTAGCCAAGGAAAAAAATCTGCTTCTCATGTAATTTACATTTTTTTTAAAATCTTTTTTAATGACTTTGGGAAAGACATTGGATGCAACTAACACAAAACAAACACTGTAATTTTGATCAGGATGAGAAATTTTCACTGCAAATTACACTTGAACCACTTGTCGACAACTTGTGCCTGCAAAATTGTATGTATTTTGGCAGATATGACAAAACCATTTTTTCCCCCTTGCCTTATAGTAGTCATTGTGTTTCATTCTTTCTGATCTATACCATGGCATCAAGGGAATAATTAAAATAAATAGTATTATTATACATCTGTCATTGTAACGCCATAATTACAGCGTGTCGTAATTTTGCGGGGTATTTTCATCCTACCATACAAGGAAATGTGAATTCCAAATATGGAATGATTATGCGCGTAAGCGTCCTCTAATAATAAAAACAAATATGATTGACCGGACTCTGTTCTAAACATTTTGGGTTTCGGCATTCCCATGGTGTATCATTGGAAGGAAAGATGTATAATAACAATGTTATTATGAGGATATCTCAAAGTATACACGAAGACTGTACAGCTGGAGTATCAACCAACGTGCAGCAGAGGTCGATGCATGACGTACTGTCTGAGTGCATACTTTGAGGTATCTTCGTAATAACCTTATATCATTAGCATTCACTGTTAAACTACACAATTATACGGTACATCTGCCTAGCACAGAGTATAAATGTATGTGCATTTGAATGATGTATGTACCTTACAAATGAAAGAAGCATGGTGAGCTTGCAAGAATGCTTACCATAACATGTGACTAAACCTGACATCCAGGTGTTGAAAAGCTCTTGTACTACATGATCAGAATCAAATGTAAACAAGTTCGGTTGATGTTTCTGATCTTAATATGTGTAACTTAGTGTAATCCAAACGGAAATATGCATAATTGCCGACATCTACTTTTTTATTTCTATATACTTTTAATATTGGTG